GTTTATTGTCTTCACTGCAATAGTGCCTTTAACTTTTTCATTTTATATTATTTTTGCATTATAATTTTCAAAGATTTGAAGATTTAAACATTTGAAGTGCTTGACACTTTATATTAAGATAAAATTTACAAAGCTGCTAATAACAATTGAAGAATACCATTATCTGAAAGGTTTGGAGTACTTGAAATGAATTGACCTGGTTCGTTTGTTGACTATGTCCACAGGAGTTGGGGAACACTTTCCTTAACCATAGCCTACTTCTGGCAACTTTACACATTGTGGATTCTTGTTCAGCTACATGAAGCGGTCCCAGGAAAGAGGTACAACAGATATGTGGAGCTTGCACAAGCTGCATTTGGTAAGAGACTTCACGATTTAGAAACCACCACATGGTTTTTTGTTTTCTCAAATATTTCATAATATGCTGTAGGTGTCACAGTTACACTGATGCAATTGATATAAGTATTAACAACAGCTTAGTGATGAGGCCTTTAGCTTGATCTTGTTTAGCTTAGATATCTAGTTTTGTAGTGGATAGTAAGGTATGTGAATAAGTAAATTAATGGCAGATATTTTTTTTCTTCTTTTGCAGGGGAAAGATTGGGTGTTTGGCTTGCTCTCTTCCCAACCGTCTATCTATCGGCAGGAACTGCAACAGCTTTAATTCTAATAGGAGGGGAGACCATGAAACTATTTTTTCAGATAGTTTGTGGTCCCTTATGTTCATCAAATCCCCTAACAACAGTAGAGTGGTATCTAGTGTTCACTTCACTATGTATCGTTCTATCTCAGCTCCCAAACCTCAATTCAATTGCAGGACTTTCACTCGTTGGAGCCGTGACAGCCATAACTTACTCCACAATGGTTTGGGTCCTCTCTGTAAGCCAGCCAAGGCCACCCACAATTTCTTATGAGCCAATTACATTGCCATCCTCTTCGGCTTCTGTCTTTGCAGTCTTGAACGCTCTTGGTATTGTAGCCTTTGCTTTCAGGGGGCACAATTTAGTTCTGGAGATTCAGGTATGCTCTCTGTGAGTCCGGAGTAATGAAGTTATATTCTCCTTGTTAAAAAAAAAAACATACATAATTACTTAAGTTGGGAATTTGCACTTTTAATTCTTATCTAACAGAATTTCATTTACCTGAATTAGGCAACAATGCCATCAACCTTTAAACACCCAGCTCATGTGCCCATGTGGAAAGGAGCCAAGGTTGCCTATTTCTTCATTGCAATGTGTTTGTTCCCTGTTGCAATTGGTGGCTTTTGGGCTTATGGAAACCTTGTAAGTTTACCAACCTTGTAAGGAGCATATTGGTATCATGGATGACTTGATTTCAGCCATTTCATCAAGTTTCATAAATTTTTGCATTTTTCAGTCTTGTTGATTGTTCCGTATGTTCTGTTTTTCTACAGATGCCTTCTGGAGGGATTCTCAATGCCTTGTACGGATTCCACAGTCATGACATCCCTAGAGGACTTCTTGCAATGTGTTTCCTCCTAGTTGTGTTTAATTGTTTGAGCAGTTTCCAGATATACTCAATGCCTGTATTTGACAGTTTTGAAGCTGGTTACACTAGTCGTACCAACCGTCCCTGCTCGATTTGGGTCCGGTCTGGTTTCCGAGTTTTCTACGGATTCATCAACTTCTTCATAGGAGTGGCACTCCCCTTCCTCTCCAGTCTTGCCGGGCTACTAGGAGGACTCACACTTCCAGTCACATTTGCCTATCCTTGCTTCATGTGGGTTCTCATTAAGAAGCCTACAAAGTACAGCTTTAACTGGTATTTTCATTGGATCTTGGGTTGGCTGGGGATTGCGTTTAGTTTGGCCTTTTCCATTGGAGGCGTGTGGAGCATGGTCAACAATGGACTTAAATTGAAGTTCTTCAAGCCGCCTAATTGATGTTTCAATGGCCCCTGCTTCATAATTCTTCAAATTTTGTTAAGAATGTTATAAACACTGTTGCTTTGCTGCAAATTAAATACGTCTTGTGCGTACATATTCGTGTTCTTTTGTGGCACATGGTTAAATGGTGTAATGGTTGGGAAGTTTGTTCTGGTTCTGTAACAGATAACTTTATATACTTACATAGCCCTTCCACCTGAGCTGTTTGTGGTCCTCTGTAATGAGTATTCAAAGAAGAAAAGTTAGCCTGGACTATAATTTGGATTGGCCCCAGTTTCATTGCATGCTTTTGGGTCATTATAATTTATAAGTTAAATTGGGCCCACTTTCATTGCATGTTTTTTGGGTAAGTTGAATTTGATTTGGCCCCAACCTCACCTACATAAACTATATAATAGAATACAAATTGGTCCAAACAAATTGCAGGTGCTTCTTTTTTGTTCGGAATCAAGTTTCATTAATAGAAAGCCAATGTCAATTACATGATGGTGGAACTCATAAAAATGAGTCCAAACAAATGCAATAGTAAACACACCCATTAAAAATAAAACTCAAACATGCAAAAAGCCAGGGCCCAGAACTGATATAAAGTCAGAGCCCAAAATTGACATAAAGTCAGAGTCCAAACTGGCATAAAACCAGAGCCAACTAAAAGCAGAAACACCACCAAACGCCAAAGTATCGCTGCGTCCATAAAGATTGAGACATCGCCACCAGGACTAATGATGAGCGAAAGAACTGCAAACACACCAAAACACACAAAACAAATACAAAAACTACAAATATGAAAATCCCTCGCAATACATAAACCGACCCTAGAAAATTTATCTATTTGTGATGATTTTGAGTTAAACCTGAAACCTACCTAAACCTTACCCATGTCTTACCAATTGGTTGTGAGAAACCCTTATTGGAGGCTTCTAAGAGCAAGTCAAGCGATTGGACTTGCTATGTCAAAAGGGCCCCCAGCCAAAGAAACCTACTCCAGCGATCAAATCTAGCACCAGCAGATGGTGGGTAGCACCAAGACTGGGCAGGTTCGAAGGCAAGAACAGCCCGAGCTGTTGCTTAAAGGCACTGACGTCAATAGTGAAATTCTTATTTTAAAAAAATTGGAAATAATTCTAAATAATTACCAAAAAAATCTAGAATATATATATTTTTTATACATACCCATTAATTTATTATTATTATTAATCTCATACATATAAATAAAATTTATCATATGTGAATAGTAATTGCTCTTGAATTGGCATAGTAATGGATGGAAAAACAACAAAAATATTATTAGGACATATGCTATTCATGTGAACAGTAAATGCCCTTGCTTTCTCTTATCTTTTGCCATAATAAATGAATGGAAGTGCTCTAAATGCATGTAGACCAACTCCTTAATTACTTATTTAATCAAGTAATAATGTCGTGGGATTGCAATGATAATGGATGCTTCGAGGAAAATGAGGAGGTTTGCTTCATGCACTTGTACAATTGTGTTTATTTATATTTAAATTAAGAATGATGGCAATTCTTAATTCAAGATGAAGAGGGAAAGGCGTGTTTGGTTGGGTGGGGTGGGGTGACAAATATCCCTACAACAAGAATGATGACTCCACCTGACAGAGGTATATTATAATTATAGTATCACATCTTTAATTATGATTTTAATTTAGTAATTTGAAAAGTGCATGTGGGCATGCATGGATTGTTGTGGTGGATATCTCCGTGCTTAAATTCGATTGATTGATCGCAGCACAAACAACGGACGTTAACTTGTGCAGCAGAACATGATTGTTCTAATTCATCTTTATATTATTACGTTTGTGCTGCCAGCAATATTAAACCAATGGCCAAATGGGAAACCTACGACCGGGTTTGGAGATTAGAATAAACTTCAGCGGGATGCGCACTGAATTTACCCTCAGTTCAACCTAACCACAAATCAAGGAACTATAGGCACCAGGAGAATATTTGGATAAGTTAAATTGATGGTTTGGTTTGGAGATTGGAAGTCCAAACCAGTCTTTATGAGTCCCACCTAATGTCTTGGACAGTTGTCTAATTTAATAAAATCCAATCTCAGCAGCACACCAAATAATGGTCAGAAATATGGTTCATTTTAATTGAAGAATCTAAGTCCAGTTGAACCCACAAAACGTGGTCTTAAAGTCTATTAACTAGAGGTTCAGCTTTGGAGCAAAACTACTTCCCTGTCCCATTCTCTCTATCTCTCACCTCCTGTGACTGTGACGGGTGACTTGAGTAGGAAAATAGAGAGAAGTAATGAAACCAGATGGGTAAGTTTCTCTTGCATTGCAATGGAATCGAGCAGAAAAGCTAATTCTAATTCCAAATGAAGCAGCACTGTCAGCTTTCAGCATTATCCACAACACAATGAACCATGCAACAAGTGGTCCCTGGTCGGTGGCATCTAGTTCAAAATCAAAATCAAAGTCTCCCATTTCAGTATATAATGCCAAACAGGAAACAACACAGCATATTCAATACAGAACTGAGCAGATAAACATAAAACCTTAGAAACTGATGTGTAGGGTTTTGGTCGTATCAACTTCAAATGAAAACCAATTAGGTGCTCCATTATTCTAATTAACACCATTTAACTCCTAGTCGTCCAGTTCTTAAGTAGGCATACAGTCTATTAGAGCTAATCCCTTTAAAACTGTCGGCTCATGTCTGGCTTCTCATAACATTTAATCAAATCGGCTCAATCAACCAAGTTAATTTCGCGTGGGACTCGATTCATCATGGCTCGTGTGCCGATGTGCGCTTAGGTAGACAAATCCAAGAATGATCCAATTATAGAGGAATTAAAATTGATCACTCTGTTAAACTAACTGAAATTAGTCTCAATATCCACCCAAACGTGCCATCTTCTTCACACAACACAGATTAATTAATTACTGTTGTATCAGAGTTCATACACGAAGTTCAATTCTTTACCAAACAAATATAATAGCTCGATTGCTTGTCAGATGAAGTTTAAAGGTACAAAAGATTCATGCTTTTATGCAAATTCATCCCAGAAGTTCAAATTGAAAGAAAGAAAGAAATTATAGCATGCAAAGTAAACGCAACATACCCAAAAAGCAGTCATTTTTGTCCATTTTCTTGCAGCATTTCTGTCAAAGACAGGTGGTAGTCCCAAAAGATTTACAAAGCCAGTACAAACAAAACCCTAAGACGAAAAGAAGTAACCAAAAGCAACTACCTTTTCCAACCTATAGTGATCTATTCTATACCCACCACAGAGACTCTGACCCAAAAACCCAAAAAAGACCATCAGATGATCAGAAAGACTAAGAAACCCAGTATACGACCCACAATTTCAGTACGACTCGGAAAACCCATAACCCAGAAAGAAAAAAAAAAAAGGAAAATGATTTTTTTTTGTTGTTGTTGAAATTCTGGAAATGGGAAAAGAGTGTTTCTGTTACTTGAAAGTTTTGCCTGAAGCAGGCATCATGGAGATCTCGAGCTCCGGCCAAGCAAAGCAATCCCCATCGACAAATCCACCATCAGCACCGGTTGTCATCTGCCACGTGTTGCACCCGGAAGGAGCACCATTGTTATTGTTATGGTCAATGACAGTACTTGGAAAGTCACCGACCTCAGGAAAAGCCCAAACCCCTTTGCTGCCATGGCCAAAAGCATCGCCCACTTCATCAAGCCCGTGACCAAACGCCGACCCGTATCCGTACCCGTACCCATACCCACCAAGCGCCAAGAACCCAGGTGGAGGTGGCCCCTGAGAATTCAACAGCGAAGTAAAACCCCCGTTCCCGACCACGTTCTCGTTCAGGTCCATCAAATGGTCAACATCTGAGGCCGGCTCTGGCTTCACTTCAGCGGACAAGGAAACGGGTTTCGCGGTAGCGACTGAGGTGACCTCTTGGGTGAGCGAGGAAGAGGAAGGCGAGCAGGAAGAGGAGGAGCAAGTGGTGGAGCGAGAGCGCTTGGAGTTCTTGCGAGAGCCGCCACCGACGGGGACGTCGCGGAGGGTGCCGCCTTGGGTCCAGTAGCGGCGGCAGGACTTGCAGAAGTGGCGGGGCTGAGCGAGGTTGTAGTTGTTGTAGTAGCAGAACTTGGTGTTGGTGGAATCGCAGCGCGGGCAGTGAAGCGGGTCGGTTTGGGGCGGTGGCTGGTGACCCATGCTTTGTTGGACTTTTGTCGTCGTCGTCGTTGAGGGTGGCTTTTGATTATTGTCTTCAGATTCAAACGGCATCGTGGTTGGTGTCGTTGTCAGAGAGGGGTTTTGGCATTTGTGTTTCTCCAGAACAAGGAGACAGATGTGTGGAGATTGGAGAGAGGGGGAGGAGGAGAAGTTTTGGAAGGAGTGAGAGGTTTTTATGGAGGAGAGTGTAATTGTGATTCGTGAAGGTGCTTCTCTCTCTCTCTCTCTCTGTGGGCATTGTGTACGATGTTGAAGGTGGCGCGACGCGTGGCTCAGCTCAATTACCGCCTAATTTTAATGCTAATTAATTAATTGGTTTTACATGTGAATTGATTATTCATCATTTTTATCTCATTTTGCTTTTACTTTTACTTTTACTGTGAGGAAGTACGGCTGGTGGTGACGTGGAGGGTGGGAAGCTGGGTAGGGTGGCGTATCAGGAAAGCATTGGCGTGAAATCTACTCAACTTCCATGTCATAAAAATAAAAATAAAACTCAACTCAAGTGGTGCAAATTGTAAACGCATGGGACCAGACGAGACCAACTTCATGTCATCCTCCTCGACCACCACAAACCCAAGTTGTTTTGATCTTTTGCAAAAGAGAGTTGTTTTCATTCCTGTTCAATGCATTCAAGAAAAAGAATTAGAACTGTAGGCATGGTGAGGGGGAAAAGGATGAGAGAGGGAATACCACCACAAGTAGGTTCCATCTCCAACAACAAATATTGTATAGATTAGTGTTGTTTTCTTAGTATTTTCGTTTGAGTTAAGAATAGTTACGCATGCATCAGGGGTTTTAAATTAAATTCCAACTCGTACTTAAGATATCGAAAAGAAAAGGAATTGGAAAAAAGGTCCAACCGTCGACTAGGGAGAGAAGGGAGAAGACCGACAATATGATGGGTGTCGGGCAGCGTGGGAAGCAATTATTGGGTTTGCCTCCTTGCGCTCTCTTTCTATGCTCTTTTATTTTCTCTCCTCTTGTCGTCTGGGGAGGTGTGTGCCTGAGGTCAGTATCAGTAGTCTCCTATTCTAGTGCTGTCTGGTGTCTAGTCTTAGCTCTTCTACCTATATGCCTGTATGTCCACATGCACAGCCTACATGCCTAAGTCCTGCAGATAACTGCATCCCTACAACTTAAGAGGCCTCAGAGATTCTTCTCATCCTTCCGCTTGGGGCCCAAGTCACTTTCTCTTTCACCCTTCTGCCTCTTGTGCCTCATTTTCTCGCTCCCCGTGACCCTTCTCCATCACAATCTTTCATTTCCTTCTTTTGCTTCTCTTTCCCACTTCTACCTATATACTTCCTGTTATATCTTCATGTTATATACATATAAGTTATTATGTTCATGTTTTATATATATATCTCATCATGCTGCATGATATGATATTCATTCATTTTCCAGACATGACACTTCTAAAGATAATGATTTGTATAGAATAAATACTTCCCTATTTTCGTTTCATATTATTACTTTTTTTTTCTTTCTAAAAAGTTTATAAGGGAAGTTTTTCTCGTGGCATAGACTTGCACGCGGGCCTTACCTTGTAAATTGAAAATAATCTGACCTCATTCGTAAGAGCGATCACTTGACCTAGTCAGTTCATGAACGACTCGGCTAGCGGCTCCAGCAGCCAGTCAATGGACAAGCCAAAGCTCATTATCAGCTCAAAAGAAAGAGGAGGGGGGAGGGGCCCGCATCCTGCAGGATTGTCTCTCCTTCGTACGTCGTTGTCAATCACATATGGAGAGTGTGTGTGTGTGTGTGTGATTTGTTTGCCACTCTCTCTGTCAGATTTTTTCAGTTTTGACTTCTCAACGGTGACTTCTATACACACCGCTCTACACACTGCAAAGGAAACTCATCAAGGAGAGAAATAGTCTTCAGTGGTGGACCCATGAGCTTGCCCAGATTAAATTACATTTCTTCTGACATTCATAATTTAATTTGTCTACTTTATACAGTGTTTCTACTTGCAAGTTGCATCCATTATTTATTGGTTTTTTCTTCTTTTCCTTTCACAAGAGGAGAATGTTTTTTGCAATGATTTTCATAATAAAGAAAAGTTTGGTGTGGTGCGGCATGCCCTCTACTTCATTCATCACACCTTTGCCTTTGGCCTCTCGCTCTTGTCGCATATGTCAACTTTCCTACAGAAATGCCATAAACAAAATTTCCTACAGAGCAACAAGAAAGCAAAAACGAAACAGAGACATACCAATTTGATTCTTGCAGTGTTGGTGTGGGAAATAAATAAATTAATGCAGAAACGTGTAATTACTTGCATGATTTGGATGTTAGTAATAACTATGCAAACTTTCAGTGGCATTCAAAATGTGCATTTACTTCCCAACAAAAGTTTTATAAACGACAGCTCTGATACTGATTCTAAAATTTCCTGTGTCTTTTTATGTGATGCTGAAAGAAGTGCCCACCAAACCCAACCCATCACATTGATGTAGATCAAGGACTAGGCCAGAGATTGAGGCTGGACGGTTTGACTAATTCACATCATTTTCTTATCCGTTTTGGCCTCACACACAACCGACCATGAACCCAATTATTACCACGAAAATGCCAAACAAACTATTTGCCTACTCACTTGTGATTTATTTGCTTGGCACTAGTAAGTTTATTGTCATTCATGAAGTTTCCTTGAAACACAACTCCCCTCTGCTTGTTATTTTAATTCATGGTATGACCTTTACTTTGCTGAGGCTTAAATAATGCTGCCTTGCCATCACACTTGATAAATTGGTGTGACAAATTCTGTGGACAGCAAATGCAGAAGCTTTTTATTGGATATTTAGAAGAAATAATTAGCTGTACTTATGAACAAAACATTCTTGTTTCTACTGTGAACTTGAATTATTGTCATTGCCCATTTATTTCTTCAATAACGTCAGGTATGAGGTAGTTACAGATTACATAAAAGGACAATATTTTTTATAATAATTGGCAGTCTCACATCATTTTCTGGTCCCATTTTAATATGTAGTCTCAGCTTCATGCTTAATTACATGCACCAGAATCAGAAGTAATTAACATAAATGAAGTTTGAATGCAGAAAAGATAAAGATTAAGAAGGCATAAGGATGCTGATATCATTCAACAGAAATACTTCATAAGTTATTCACCTGTGTGATTACATTTGTTCTTCAGATGGCATAACGAAGTTGATAAAGCCTAGAATCATCTTAAATTTAGAAAAAGGAAAAAAAAAAAAAAAAGTCTAGGCAATAAGCAACGCAAAAGCCTCAGCCACAAACAACTTGTGGGCTTGGAACAGAAACGAAATTTGAGGCTAATTTCTTGGTTTCAGGATGGCATGCATTGGGTGGAGTTTGTGTGTGGTGAGCCCAACAGTATCAACATTTTCTTCCTCTCCATCTCTCAGCTTCCACTCAAACTCCTGCACCAGCCTACCAATTGTGGTGGAGGCTATTAGCATTGCCTGAAGAGAACCAGCACAAACCCTCTTTCCAGCTCCAAATGCCATGGTCTTGTACAAATCCATTGGATCGTATTTTGGCTCAAAAAATCTCTCCGGCTTCCATTCTCCAGGGCTTTCCCATTGATTCTTGTCCATGTTGCACCCGTATATATTAATAGCAATCTGCACATTACAAGTTACTTGAAAGATCAATAACAACATCTGTAAATAAAATAAAAAGAGAGAGATGAGAAATCTCATGGCATATTTGTTTATCAATTACCTCTGATCCAGCAGGAACATAGTAACCTCCTAATTGGGTATCTTCATGTGCATATCTTAAAGGAACTATTGGAGCTGGACTGTGCTTCCTTAGAGTTTCATGGAAAATAGCACTCAGGTATGGCAGTTGGGACAAATGTTCCTCAGTGATCTTGTTGGATCCACAAACATTTTGGATTTCTTGATAGAGACGACCCTGTTTCATAAAGAGGCAACCACCAATATCAGTTACAGATAAAACCAAAAATTTAAAAAAATGCATATAACAACTGGAAAAATTAGTGACTGAAATTAAAAGTACCTGTCGGTTTGAATCTTTAGCAATTTCATACATAGCCCATTCTGTTGTTACCAATGTTGTATCCGCTGTCTCGATAATTGTCTCCCAAAGCAACATAGCTATTTGCTCTGATGTAAGCGTTTTTGCTTCAGAAAGCAAGTAGTCGGTATAACAATTTAATTCCTGTTTCATATCTCAGTCAAGTTACAGAAACAACAACTGAGAAGTTCCAGAAAATAATGCATTTGAAAGTAAGAAAAGAACACACCTCTCCTGAAGCAATTCCCTTCTTCCGATCATCGATCAGGGCATTCATTACTGCACTCCTGCGGGTATAGAGTCTCTGAATTTTCATTTCTAAGCTCTTATTGGGAACCCATCTCAGGTAAGGGAAGAAATCTCTCCAATCAACATCAATTGCAGCCTCCATTATGTCAAGCACTAGAACCTTAAAGATCTCATCTCTCGACAACGTGGTGCCAAGCTCCTCCACATAAATGGAGTCTTCTATGTTCTTTCCTATGGCCTGCATATCCCATTATGCTAGTTGATTCTATGTTCTTGATTTTGTAATTGCAATGTCAAGCACAAGGAACAAAAGTCAAAGAATAATTTTTTCAAACGAAATGATGAAACACTCACTTGCTTCAATGAAATTCCAAAGAGTTCATATTCAAATATTTTCCTGAAATTAATAGCTTCTTGAGGAGCGTTCTTTACATGAGCATGCAATCGGCTTGCAACATTCTCCCTCATGGTATCTCTGTGGCTTCGGTGTCGCTTCTGCATATTATTAAATGGATTTATAACAAGATCTACTTTATTATGGCAACAAAAACAGTAAGCACACAAATTAAGTGAGAACAAAAACTGTAAAAATCAACCTGAGCATTTGCTCCAAGAACATTTGTGAGTATGTATCGTTTTATCATCTTGTGAAAGTCGTTGTAGTCACTTATTGCAACCATACATTTATTGCAAGTGAGAATCTTTAGTGCCTTTGATAGCTTTTTCGTTGACATGGATAAATATCTGGTCACCATGGCCTGAAACAACCATTAGAGCAGAAAGTGGTGACCAATATATACAACCGATGACTTCATACCAAAAGGAAAATAATAACATAGAAGCACTCATGTACAAGATAAAACCAGCCCTGTATCATATACGTATTAAGCTTGAACATATTGGATATTTAAGAAACAGAACT